TGTTTTTACTGTCTTATTGTTACTGACTTTTAGGACTTCTTTATATATTCTGGATATAAGATCTTTGTTAGACATATTTGTTGCATATGTTTTCTCTGGCTTGCCTTTTTAAAAAAACTATCTTGAATTTAAAATTTTCCTGTTTAAGGGATTCTGCCTACCCAACATAATGAAGATATTTAAAAATATTTTCTTCTAGAAGCTTTATTATTTACCTCTTACATTTAGGTCTGTGATACTTTTAGAATTTAGTTTTCTATTGTAGAGTCATTGTGACTCTGCTTAGTTATTTTTTTCTCTTAATTCTTCAATTTGGTTAGTTTCTATTGCTGTGTGTCTTGCATTTTACTGATCTTTTCTTCTTTGGTGTTATAATTGCTTTAATTTTATCTGATGAAGTTTTCATTGTACATAATTTTTTTTCGTCTGTAGACGTCGTGCTTTTTCTTCTTCTTTTTTTAATACATCTTTATTGATTTCAGAGAGAGGAAGGGAGAAGGAGAGAGAGAAATAGAAACACTAATGATGAGAGAGTCGCCATTGATAGGCTTCCTCCCGACCAGGGATTGAGCCCACAACCCAGGCATGTGCCCTGACTGGGAATTGAACCTCCATCTCCTGGATCCTAGGTCAATGCTCAACCGCTGAGCCACGCCTGGCTGGGCAGTGGTTCTTTTTTATATGTTCCATTTCTATCCATATGATTATATTTTTAAATTCTTGAACATATATAATAGATATTTTGTTATTCTCATCTCATTTCTCTTATTTCTCCTGGTTATGGGCCATGTTTTCCTGTTTCTTAGCTAATCTAATTTTTTTATTGAATTTTGGGTATTATGACTTTCACATTGTTTTTATTGGATTTAACTGTCTTTAAAGAGTGTTGGGCTTTGTTATAGCAGGCAATGAATGTACTTATACATCACTCTGTGGCTTTGTTAGGGTGGATCTAGAGTATACTTACTCTAGGTCTAGTTTTTTCTTTTACTGAGTAGACCTTTCCACAGTATTTACTGAATTCAGCTGTTTATCTCCATTCTGTCTACTTGGAACTCTCAGTACCATGTGAGCCCTAAGAATTTTTCAACTTACCTCTTTGTTTGGCCTCATGAAGTTTTACTCTACATATACAAAGCTTAGTACTCAGTAATTTGCAGCAACAGATATATGGGATCCTATGCAGATTGTTGGATCTCTTTCTTTGAATAGTTGGTTTTTTGCTTCATCATCTGCTTGACGTTGTTGGACTTCAATCTTTGTCTCCAACTGTGTGGACTACTGTGGTCTGCCTGGGATTCTTCTTCCTGTGCTGTGATCTATATTGCGGTGGAATTTCTAAGTTTATCATGTTTTTTTCTCCCCATTTCACGTGGTTCACAGTCCGGCCCTGCCTGTTGTCCAGTGTCTGACAACAGTTATTTCATACATTTTGTCCAGTTTTGTTGTTATTGGAGAAGGCCAGGTTCAGCCTCATTCCATCATAGCTAAAAGTGGTAGGTCTCTTAATACATTTTTATAGAAATAAGTTTTCAGAAAGCTAATTGAGGGTTTTAAGAACAGTGAACTTAAACTGTTCTTTGTATATATGTTTTTTCCAGAAAACAGTGACAAATGGAATGCTTCTTTTTAAAAAAACTTTATCGATTTCAGAGAGAGGAAGGGAGAGGGAGAGAGAGAGATCGAAACCCCAATGATGAGCCAGTCATTGATCAGCTGCCTCCTGCCCGCCCCCTGCTGGGGATCGAACCTGCAACCCGGGCATGTGCCCTGACGGGAAATTGAACCCTGATCTCCTGGATCATAGGTCAGTGCTCAAATGCTGAGTCACGCTGGCCCTGCTCGGGTGTCCCTTTTTAACTAGCCTAGTCTTTTCATCATAGTTTCCTTTAATGGTTTTTACTGTTGTTATAGTTATGTAAGAAAAACATTATTTTTAGGCTTTCTGATAAGTGAATAGGAACACTAAGTTTAGTTGCTTAGTGTTGTGTTTCTTTGGTTATATTCTGTTAATGATAGCTACCAAGATACAGCTTCTGCTTTCCCCTCTCTCTTATGCCCCTGGTCACTCAGCCTGCTGAGTGCTTAGTTGATTGTGGGAGGGGTAGAAAGTTAGGAAACAGTTGCAGAGAAACTGGGACTGACGGGACCTACTAGAGGATGGAAGTATGAGGGAAATAAAGGACCAAGGATAATTAGTTTTTTTGCATCATCATCATCTGATTGGATGAGTTGAGGGGAGAGTATCTACTGAGATGGTAAAGACTTCGTAAAGAATAGATTCTGGGGGAAAATCAGTTGTGTTTTGGATGTATTAGGTTTGAGGTATGAAACAACAAACAAAAGATGGTAAGTACATAGTTGGTATAGAACAACTCTATAGTTGCCTGTTGCATTGAACTTTAAGCAGTTGGTTTCTTAATGTTACATGTAAAAAGTTACTATGCATTTTTCTATCATTTTGTCACCTTTTCATTAACTATCTCTCCCAGATTATGAATATATTATTTCAAAAATTGTAAGTAGCCTGGCCGGACGTGGCTCAGTGGTTGAGCATCGACCTAGGATCTAGGAGATCATGGTTCAGTTCCTGGTCAGGGCACATGCCCGGGTTGCAGGCTCCATCCCCAGCCAATCAATGACTACTCTCTCATCATTGATGTTTCAACTGTCTCTCTCCCTCTCTCTTCCTCTCTCTGAAATCAATAAAGATATATTTTTTTTAAAAAAAGTTGTGAGTAAAATGTGTTTAAACTTATGACAGTGAATTCTGGCATGGATTATCATTGTCTTTTAGGAGCAGGGTTTTATTTTTTTTCTGTAACAAGTGCAATGATTTAAAAAATAATTATTATGAAAGCACATATTGATACCTAAAAGTCAAATGATAAAAAAAGTTGTTTTCCCCTCTGCCACTCATCCCTTCCCACTCCAGAATTAAGCACCCTCAGTCCTTGTAGCCATTTTCTCTGGTATTTGCTTTCTATTGTTTAACAATATATCACTATTTCTTGATACATGACTTTTTGTTGTTGTTGTTAATCCTCACCCGAGAATATTTTTTCCATTGATTTTTAGAGAGAGTGGAAAGATGGAGGGAGGGAGGGAGAGAGAGAGGGAGAGGAAGGAAAGAGAGAGAGAGAGAGAGAGAAACATTAGTATGAGACAGACACATCAATCAGTTGCTTCCTGCACGCACCCCGGTCCGGGATCAAAGCTGCAACTCAGGTACATGCACTTGACGGGGAATTGAACCTCTGACCCTTTGGTGCACAGACTGATGCTCTAACCACTAATCCACACCAGCCATGGTGTTGGGCATTTATTGACTTTTGGTTATGGAAAATGAGGACTTAGAACTTCGTCAATACCATGTTTGCCCACTTCCTTTTCTTCATTACCTCATATCACAATATTTTGGTAAATCAGTACTTAATATTTACATTTTTATATTTATGTATGTGTTCTTCACTGTTAAGCCAAATATTACACTGAGACCACACTTCCTTTCTTATATAAGCCTTTATTTGTCCTGGAGTTAATACTGTCTCATTTATGCAGTTGCCTGATTTTCTGTAGACCTGTTGCTTTTCCCCAAAATGTGCCTCTACTTCTATCATGTGCTTATAATTAATATATTCCATATTATGAAGTACATCAGTTCCATTTTTGCGCTTGCTAGAAACTTATTCCATGATGGCCTTTGGCTTCCTGTTTCATTTTGAAGTAGTTGTTCTCTAGTTCTTTTTTCTGCATTAGATTCCTCATTTACTAAGTTCCATGTCTTGTTAAATTTGTTTTGATTCTTTTTAACAGCTTTCTAAGGGAAAGTACCTAGAAATAAAATTTTAGCTTTCTGAGAAGCCTTAAAATGTCACATTACTCATGTACTTGATTGATAATTTGGCTGGGTATAGAATTCTAGGTTGAAACTTAATTTCACACTGAATTTTGAAGGCTGTGTATAGTTTCTGCCTTTCAGCAATGTTCTGTTATTACTATGGAATAAAAGTTCAGTGTCATTATGATTACAGATCCTTTTTATATGTTGTTTTTTTCTCTCCCTGAAAGTTTTTAAGGACCTTTTCTTTCTTTTTGGGCTTTGAAATTTCATTATGATGTGTCATGGTGTGGGTCTTTATTATTATTCTTCATTATTTTGCACTCACTTTATTGTCGCTTTGCAGCTTGAGAGACTTCTTTCCTTCAGTTAAAAAGGAAATGTTATTTTGAAATATAATTTCTACAGTTTTACTTGTTTTCAATTTTCACTTTATGTAACACTTGTTGGAGTAAGCTAATGATATTGTTTTTCCTAACCTATATTTGGTCCCTTTGTTTTTTGTTTTTGTTTTTAATACATCTTTATTGATTTCAGAAAGAGGAAGAGAGAGGGAGAGAGAGAGAAACCTCAGTGATGAGAGAGTCATTGATTGGCTGCCTTCTGCAGGCCCTCTACTGGGGATCGATCCTGCAACCTGGGCATGTGCCCTGACCAGAATCAAACCTTGATGTTGATCATAGGTCAGTGCACAACCACTGAGCAATGCCAGCTGGACTCTGTCCCTTTGTTTTGCTTTACTTTCTGTATTTGAACCTTCTGTATTTTTTTAAAAAAATATTTTGTTTTGCTTTTTATTTTAGAGAGGAAGGGAAAGGGACAGAGAGAGAGAAACATTGATGAGAGAAACACCAATTGGCCGCCTCCTGCATGCCCCCACCCCCCATCTCCCACTGGTGATCTAGCTTGCAACCCCGGCTTGTGCCCTGACCTGGAATTGAACCAGTGACCTCTTGGTTCATGGGGTGACGCTCAACCACTGAGCCACACTGGTTGGGCAAATCATTTGTATTTTTTTACCTGCTTTTAGTGGGATTTAGGGGAATATGGAAATAACATTTGATTATTCTGTTGTATTTAACAGAATCAAAAATTTAGCATTGAATTTAAACTTTTTGCATTTCTTGCTAAACTCAATTTTTTTTTTTTGCCTTGACAGAGATGTTATGAGCATAAACAGTATAGAAATGGGTTGAAATTCTGTAAACAAATCCTCTCTAATCCCAAATTTGCAGAACATGGAGGTAAGTGTAAATGCTGTATACTTGTAAGTGTAAGTACGTAAAGCTTTGCTTACTTGTCTGGCTTCATTTATCTGGGTTACATCACTCCCAGCTGCCTTAACTATTTTCCAGAGAGAATGGGCTTGCTTATCCTTGACTCCTATATTTTGAATTTAGTGTCAAGAAAATGATACACACATTCTACTTGAGTTCTGACTTACTCCTATTTTGAAAATAAGCATGGTAGGAAAGGCAGAAGTACTTAGTAGAACAAATATACTTATTTAATTTAATAAGTAAATTTACTTAATATGTTGTAAGAAAAATTCATTTTACAATTTTGGTTGAGTTGGGGAATTTTATTCCTCATAATAACTTATTCAGAAAGTGTCCATTTGGTTCTTTGTAGATGAACCAACACCTTTTTATTTAGCATTGTGTCTTAATTCGTTTTTCAAAACAATCATATTTAACGCATGATTGGTATATTGTAATGTTCTGAAAGGTTTTTTTTGCCTTTCAGCTTTTGCCTATTTGAGGGTAGAAGATTCAACGGTGAGATGTTTGTAGAGTAAGGGGAGGAAGAGTGAGTGTTTAGCTAAATTTGAGATGAGGCAAAGGAAAAATAAGCTTTCACAGGTCAGATTTGTGCAGTTAGGAAACAGGGCTCTTTGGTAATTAATTTGATAGTGTCCTCAGTTCTGAAGAGGGAGAAAGTAATAATTTTGTATTAGCTTTCTTTTGCATACTTTCACTAAAATAATAACATTGTTTTTTAACATTGTTAAGAATATTTTTTTGCTGGCAGCTGGGTATTAGGTTGTTTATTTCTAAAGTATGCATACTGGTCATGTAACTGTTAGTAATGTTATGACAGTTTCAGTACAACAGAGTACCAAATTTCATTGTTCTAAAATGCAATTTCTCCTCATTTTAACATCTCTGAAATCAGGTTGCAAATGAAGTATCATAATTTAATTGAAAATATTTTTTAACAGTATGTAAAATGATGGTTTGTCTTAAACTTAATGGCAACCTGGGGTTTCATTAATTAAGGAACTTCAAGATGTTTGGTAAAACTTTTAAGAATATATTTTACTTTTTTGACAACAAAGGGCTACTTTTTATGGTACCTTGCTAATTTGGCTTTTTGCCAAATATATTTGTTTGCTTCCTTTTTATTATATACATGATTTATAACAATTTGTACATGATTCTACCTTCTTTTTTGCTTCCATTTCTTTATCTGCATTTTCCTATAAATGGTTTTTTCCTCAGGATAATACCTTTGAACCTTATCTTTTATTCATAGGTAATTTTTCTATAAATTCTAAGTTTTAGTTCTAAGAGTTAGGCAAATACATTATAATGAATATTTTTATTCCTTTGTACATCATAAAATATATATTATAAAGTTAGAATTTTTTTTCTTTTTTGAAAACTTAATATTGCCCTCAACTCTCTCTTTTAATCTTAATCTCTTGATTGTGACAGGAGTGTGATATCTTCTTTTACTTGTATATTTAATAGTATCTAGAAAATCATTGTAAAAGAATGAAATTGATGCAAATCAGAAATGTGTATGTATATAATTTATGTGTATGTTTTAATCATTGAACAGTAATTTTAATCTTTATGTATCTTGGGTTCAAAGAAGTAAAGTCTGTTTTGCGATAAAGTTTTTCATACTTTAAGGAATCATTGTATAAGGTCATTCTATAGAATTCCCCTGAAGAATGATAATAGAGCTATGTGTATCTTGTTAGCATATGAATTACCAGATATTAATGCATTTTTGTACTTTTTATCTGAAAAATCAAAATCTATGGAGGCCTGGAGTATAGAAATGTGCTTTAACTTGGTTTGTAGGTTTTTTTAATATTTTTAATTCTGTGCAAACCTGTAAAATTTCCCAATAGTCTTCAGTTCTTAGGGTAATGTAACATTTGTTTTTGAGGTTATGGTTGCCTTTTTTGTTGTCAATTATTTTTAATGTTTAATTCCTTTCTTTTTCCTATCTTTTCTTATTAAAAAAAAAAAAAAATAGAAACCCTGGCTATGAAAGGATTAACATTGAACTGTTTGGGTAAAAAGGAAGAAGCTTATGAATTGGTGCGTAGAGGTTTGAGAAATGACTTGAAGAGTCATGTGTGTATCCTTTTTGAGATATATGTAAGGATTGGATTGGGATGTCTTGAGTGGCAGTAGTTTGGAAGTTGATGGTTTTATATTCTTCTTACCATGTAACTGCAGAGGAGATGATTCTTAAATTGAATAGTAGCAACTGCCTCCATTCAGGGGACACTTTTACATGTTTACCATGTTCTAACATATCTGTTTACAGATTAGTGGATTTGCCTTTTTAAAATACTTATGAAAGCTCTTCCTGTGCTTCAAAGAGGAGGCACCCTGCAGACTTCGTCATGATCATAAATTTAAGAAGGGTGTACGCTGAGGAATTTTAGAGGCAATATAGTACACTGATGAAGAGCACAAGTTTAGGAGAATGCTTCACTTAGGTTTGAATCCCAGCTCACCTTCTTTCTGGCTGTGATCTTAGGGCCTGTTTTCCTTATGTGTAAAATGAGGGTGATCAGAACTACCTCACTGTAGTGTTGTAAAGATTGAATGATGCTTAATAATGTCCCTGATAATGCTAATTACTATACTAGATAAATTTTATTTTATTCAGGGAAGTATGAGGGTAGCAGCAAGTACAAATGTCTGAGGGAAGATAGAAGAAAAAATTGTGGATTGCTATTTATTAAGTAGTTTTTAAACAAATATTTTCTTGCCTATTTTGTGGGCAAACAGAATTTTAAGTGCTGAAACACTTAGCAGATTTTCAAGTGTTTACCAGGCCCCTGCTATAGTGTATTACAAACTAAGAATTGATAGGGATTTTGCTCTTGAGGAACTTAGTCTAGTGAAGGAAGAAGATACTTATTAGAAGCATATACAGAACATTTCTAAGTATTACATGAAATGTTAGTGTGTGTACAAAAATTATCACTATCCCAGCAAAGCAAAAGTGAGTGAGTCAGGAATAACCAGACTAAAAAGGTGAGCAAAGACTAAGATGGTTGTAGCTATCTTTTTATCATTTTTAATGATTGCATAGTGTTCTATATGTTATTTGCCATGATTTATGTAATTGAGCTCTTCTTGATGGACACAAGACTCCTTGAGAGGGTAGGTTTTTAGGAGGTGAAGGTTAGAGGCAGTTAAAAGGTGTTACAGTGCTCAAGAGGTGATTGAAATGGGCAGACATGGGAAGGTAGATAATGGGGGCCAGATTATAAAGGGTAGTGTGTTTTAGGCTTTTTAAAACCATGTTCCAGCCAACTGAGAATATTTTAATCTTTACTTTGTCATTCATAATTATGAAAACACTTTTTCAAGTAAAATTTTATAATATTAAATATGTATTTTTATTTATATGTGGCACCCTAAACAGTCTATATTTTACTACTCTGTTGAGGATCCCTGGTTAAAAGTTGTTAGATGGAAAAATTTGAACCTGACCTGAAAGAGAAACTTGTATAAATTTCTGGAAAGGGGAGTGGGTTTTTTTCTTTTGATTATGTATGTTTTAGAAAGGTTACTTTGGCAGGAGAGAATAAAAGCAGACAGAACTGAAGGTGGGTGGATGGGTGACTGTCAGAGTAATCAAGATCTAAAGTGAAAAGTACCTGTATTAAGGAAGTGGAATTACTTATTTTCCCCCTTTATTCCATTTCTTTTTACAACATGTAATTTTGCTTACCTATCTGTGTCTCTTAGACTCTAAGTTCTTTGCATGCAGGAGATTGCACATTTGGGTCATCTACCATCCTAATTATTAAGAAATTTTAATATTTGTTGAATGAATATTTTTATTTTATATGTGGTTGATTTTTAGGAACTTTGTACTGCACTAAGGGTTCTCTCCTAATGACCTTGTTAGCTAAAGAAAATATACATGATTTAAAATAATTATATGTCATGGATACCCATTCCCTCTTTTTTCTTTAGAAATTAGCAAATATTTATTGAGCATTTATTTGATGCCAGCCAGTGAGCACTTGGTATGTGTTATTTCAATTAGTCACTAAACTACTATGCTTTGCTTTACAGACTTTCTATTTACATTCTATAATTGAGGAAACATAGCCAGACTAAATAACTTATCCAAGGTCATAGAGCTAACAAGGCAGGCTAGACCTGTTTTCTCTGGCTCGAAAAGCTGTATTATTTTCCGTTGTATTAAATCACCTTCTGAAAACTTTGTATTATCTCCTTTTTATTTAATGCTTGTAATTTTATAAATAGCTATAGTTCTCTGAGTTTCCTGGAGATTATTACTGGACTATTATTTCTTGACTTAACTAAATCCTTTAGGTTGTATCCTTAACTAAATCTTTTAGGTTGGCATGTTTATGGCCTTCTCCAGAGGTCAGATAAGAAATATGATGAAGCCATTAAGTGTTACAGAAATGCCCTAAAATGGGATAAAGACAATCTTCAAATCTTAAGGGACCTTTCTTTACTACAGATTCAAATGCGAGATCTTGAGGGTTACAGGGTAAGTAAAATAGAGAATTTTTTTATTCTAGGGGAAAATATTGTTAAAATATAAATCTTTTGAGTACTTTCTGATAACAAAATTTTCTATTTTTTAAAAGAATTTATTCAGATCTTACCCCCTCCTCCAGTAGCGATTGTGTTTATGACTGGACTAATCAGATTTTAAAAATAAATTATTTTACTGTGAAGCAGAGTTAGATTACTGTATAGGATTTAGTTAGTTCAGTGAAAATTAACATTAATATTCCTCAAATAGGCAATGCTTTTTTCTGTTATTAACATGTAACTGTAGTTGTTCCATTTTTCTGGGAAGCAAATTTTTTCTGTTTCTTATTTTTACCTTCATTGAAACTAATATTTTGTCTTTGTAGCTACATTCTAACTCTTAAATATTCTATTAGATTATTTCGTTCCTCTCTTTTTCCCATGTAGTACCTGCTGAATTGTTTTCTACAGATCTTAATTCAGTAGTTAGGCATTGTCTTTTTAAAAATGTTTTTCTTTGTGCTGTCTTTGCCATCCTGTCTTTTCTTAGAGTTAGTAAATCAGGAAATAATGAAGAGTACCTGGTCATAACTTTTTTAAAAATTATAAGATTACCTTGGAGTCTTCATTGTGCTTTTTTGTTTGTTTTTTTAAATCCTCACCTGAGAAAATGTTTTGATTTTTTTTGGTTTTGTTTTTTAATTGATTTGAGAGAGAAACATCAACCGGCTGCCTCCTGTACACACCCAGATTGGGGATCAAACCTGAAACCTGGGTAGGTGCCCTGACCAGGAATTGAACCCAAGGCCTTTCAGTACACTGGATGATGCTCCAACCAACTGAACCACACAGGCCAGGACTTAATTGTGCTTCCTAACATAATTTTTGCTTCTGTAAAGCTACACAATATGGATGTTTGAAACTGTTTTCTATTATTATTCCCAGCATTGTGTTGCAAAATTGCTCAGTGTTATGAGGAATTAATATGATCTTTTTAAGGAGCATTTGCTTTCACTGTAAACCTAAGAAAAAGTTTTCCCCTCACCTTAAAGGAAACAAGATATCAATTACTTCAGCTTCGACCTGCCCAGAGAGCATCATGGATTGGTTACGCTATTGCTTACCACTTATTAGAAGATTATGAAATGGCAGCAAAGATTTTAGAAGAATTTAGGAAAACACAACAGGTAACACTCAGAAGCCAGACCTAGTAAACTAGGTCCAATTCTAAATATAACTAAAAGAAATAAGTGTACATAGACTTGCTAACTTTTTATTTTGAAATAGTTTCAAACTTAGAGAAAAGTTGCTAGTATGCAAAAAATTTTATAGAGGCGTTTGCACACATTACTCATTTTAATATTTGACTCATTTACTTTATAATCCCTGTATCTGTTTATTTAAATTTTCTTCTAAAAACACTTGGGAGTACATGCAGACATAATGCTCTTTTATTCCTAAATGCTTCAGTGTTGTATTTCCTAAGAATAACTTGGTAGTTGTGAACTCTATAGATAGTACTATATAATTTAAAAATTAGAAAATTTAACATTGATAGACTAAACCATAGCCCATTTTCAAAATTTATTGTGTATATCCTTTCTAGAATTTTTTTTTCTCCATTTCAGAATCCACTTTAGAATCATGCCTTGCATTTGCTTATCATTTCTCTTTGGTCTCTTTTATTCTTTTGAAGTTTTGAAGACTTTACTTGTATTTCATGACATTGATATTTCTGAAGAGTATAGGGCAGTGCTCTTGTAGAATGTCCATCAATTTGGATTTGTTTGGTGGTTCCTCATAATTAGATATAGTTATGTGTTTTTGGCAGGAAACCACAGAGTAATGTTGAGCTCTTCTCCGCCCATCACATTAAGAGGCACATGATGTCTGTCTGTTCTATTTGATCACTTGGTTAAGGTGGTGTCTATTAGGTTTCTTCACTATAAACTTAATTTTTCCTTATTTTTCTCTTTGTTTTTAATAAACAATTTGAGACTATGAGTAGCCTGTTCTTCATCAAATTTTACCACTAGCTTTAGCATTTATTGATTATAATTATTGCTTGAATCTACTGTTTCATTGGTAGTTGCAAAGTGGTGATTTTCTCTTATTCCTTCTAGATTTATTATTTGACATTCTCCTGTTAAGTAAGAGCTTTCCTTTCCCCCTACTTATTATATGTAAGGACTTATGGATTCTTAGTGGGTTATAAGTTAATACTGTCATTATACTTATTTGCTCCCTAGACAGATATTTATTAATCTTAAAAAAATGAGTTTATCAATCAGATAGTATCCTTAGACTATTTGTATGTATTTGAACGTGTATAAACAATTTTCTAATATGAAAACAAAATTCTTATTGTTAATATTCCTTATATCCATATATAGACATCCCCTGATAAAGTGGATTATGAATATAGTGAACTCCTTTTATATCAGAATCAAGTTCTTCGGGAAGCAGGTCTCTATAGAGAAGCTCTGGAACATCTTTGTACCTATGAAAAGCAGATTTGTGATAAACTTGCTGTAGAAGAAACCAAAGGTATTTTTTTTAAAAGAATGTCATTTATTCTAGTATTTAATTATAACAAAGAGCAAGGCTAAAAGTCTAGTTGCTGTTGATAATTGCATATAATAATTTTTTGATGATAGAAAACCCATTTGAATAATTTTTAGTCTGGGAAAATATACATTTAAACAATGAATATTGTTGATATAGGTAAAAATTGTGAACAATAAAAATTATTGAATGAAGCGACTCAATATGTTTCTTTAAATAAAGTGTTTTTGATCTTAAAATATTGTAGGCTTTGATCAAAACACAAGAGGCAGTCGTTTTATAAGTCGTTTTATAAGACATAGGATTAAATTTCTTAGAGTCATCTATTGGCAAAACAATGTGTACACCAGATTTCTTATATAAAAAAATCTACCTATAGATTCACTAAAATATATGGGACATTCCTAAAGTTCTTTATAGTTTATCTGGACATAGAAAGAACATGAATCGAAACCAGATATTTGAGTTTATATGTGTGGATTGCAATAGGAGGGGTAGATCTTTATTTATTTTTTAAAATATATCTTTTATTGACTTCAGAGAGAGGAAAGGAGAGGGGGAGAGAGAGAGAGAAACATCAGTGATGAGAGAGTCATTGATCGGCTGCAGCCTGCAGCCCGGGCATGTGCCCTGACCGGGAATCAAACCCTGATGGCCTGGATCCTAGGTCAATGCTCTACTGCTGAGCCACACCCGGCTGGGCCGGGTAGATCTTTAAATAAAGATCTTTAATGCTGTTGTTTATTAGAGGGCTGAGAAAAAGGAGTCTTATAGTTTTAAAACTTGAATTGATAATGGAAAATGAAAGAAGAATGACAAATAATTGAAAATACAAGTACTTTCTATGAATTATCATCTAAAATGTTGCTTTGCCCTTGTTAGTCTAGGGAACTGAAATTTGCTGATTTCAAATTCCATTGGCTCCTTTTTTTTTTTTTAAAATATGATTTTATTCATTTCAGAAACAGGAAGGGAGAGGGAGAGAGAGCTAGAAACATCAATGATGAGTCATTGATCGGCTGCCTCCTGCATGCCCCCTACATGCCCCCCCTACTGGGGATAGAGCCCGCAACCTGGGCATGTACCCTGACCAGGAATCGAATAGGTGATCTCCCAGATCATAGGTCAATGCTCAACCTCTGAGCCATGCCGACCGGGCTCACTGGCTCCTCTTAAAGTTGAACACAAGAAAACTGTAGTATCTGTGTGCATACTGGAGATAGCCATTATTTGCCAGATGGACTTTGAGCAGATGATATTGCTACTGGCAAGAAAAAAATGGAAGTTTAAGGTTCCTGGACTTCAGTTATGAACTATAGATCCTGAACAGTTCTCTTTATTTGAGTTGTCATCCCTTACTGGTCTATTAGTTATAAAAGGAGGAGATTTATGACTTAATGGAAAGATCACTAGATTGGAAAAAAAACTAGTTCAGGTTCCTTGATTGGCTGGCTGCTAACTAGCTATATGATCAAGGGCAAGTCTTAGGCCTCAATTTCTTTATGAAAGTACACTACAGTTTTCAAAATACTCTTTAAGTAATTGTTTCATTTCTTCCTCCTGATAATTTTATTAGTGAGGAAGAATGACAGATCAAGTTAGGTGAGGACTCAGAATTTACCAATGGATTTTAGCAATTTGGAAGTCATGGTTAACCTTAACAAAAGCACTTTCTGAACATTTGGAAGGAAGGTGATAAAAGCGTGGGCAAATCAAATAGATTAAAATGAGATTGAAAGTAGAGGAATTGCAGATAGCATGCATAAGTGACTCACACAAGTTTTGCTGTATAGGGAAACTGATGGATAAAAGGGGTTACAGGATTCGAAAAAGGTTTTTTTATATCAGGTGCTTATGTTTACTTGAGAATGACCCAATAGACACAGAATATTTGATACAGTAGAGGGTTTCTGATCTAGTGGATAAGCTGAAGGATTAGCCTTAGATAACAACATGAGTAGTTCATTCCCATTAACAAGAGATGGAAGAGTATATAGGTATGTAGATCTAGTGGGCATTTGGGAGTTCTAATTGCTTCTATTTTCTCAGTAAAATAGGAAACAGAGCCGTCAGTTCATTCCATAAAATATGTATTGAATACCTGTACTGAATTAGGTATTGGGGACAGTGTATATAAAGAGAATAGAAGGGAAATGAGAGTAGAATTATCAGTCTTTGGGAATTCCAGTAATAAAGGCATTGTTATTAACAAGTGGTCAGGATAATTTCAGAACTTCTGAAATAGGTTAGTGAACATATAGTTAGGCATAAAGTTTCATTAATCCTTATTCTACCAGTTCCTTTTACAAAGAAAATGGGGAGAAGATTAAGGGAAGGAAACGTGGATGGTTGGGTATAGCGTAGGAGAGAACAGTTGCAGGATATTTTGCATGTTCTTAGTGAAGTAGGCTTTTGATTAATATAGAGCAGGTTGTCAACCTCAGCACTTTTGAGATTTTGGGACTGTGATGTTGGGCATGGAAGTCTCCTGTATGTTGCAGAATTTTAGCAGCATTGCTAGCTCCTACTCATCCGATAACCTCCTCTCCCCCCCCCCC